TGACTTGTCGCGGTAGACTTTCACATAATATTGAAATATTTTCAACTCTCCCTCTCTCTCTCTCCATTATAAATAATTTAAAGCTAAATATTCCAAAGAATACGAAAGGTTCCTTGAGATATACCGTATGAATATAGGAATAGGAACTCGAAGGAGAGAGAAAACGTGGTCACAGGAAAGCTAGTTAGCTATTTTCTTTAGCGCATAAACTTGATGTTACAAACGATGCTTCATTTGATCAATAAAGTGCACCTTAGATTATTTGCATCAAACTACTTTGTTGTGTTTTTCGTTATACTCAATGTTGTGCTGACTGGAAAAGGGTTTGGACGCTTATTTCTTCTTCTTTTCGGTTTTATACACATATATTCCATGATTGCCGCTGATAAAGTTCCAGTCCTCCATCAGTTTAAAGATCAAAGTGCTCTATGAGCAAACTCGTGAATTGACAGATGACTCACATAATTTTTTGGATTATGTTAAGGTTATCTGGCTAAGGGAATTTTGTGGTTGATTGTCATATTTAGAGTACGAGCAGTTGTTCAGTGTTCGCTAATGTAGCAAAGAAACAAAGTAACGTTGGGATAAGAAGGCATTACAATTGAAATGATCATGCTCTTACATTTGACAAGGGCGAATGATGTCATGTGTTTTAAACATTTATTTTTTTTAGAGGGCACGGTAACGAATCCTGCAATCTGATTGGTTCTTCACCCGGTCAGTATTTTCCTATCTCTGCCCACGGGCCACGGTAACACTTTCGTGGGTAGCCGAGTACATCCCAACTAATTTTTTATTTCTTCATTTTTCTTCATTTTTCTAAGCAAACACGTCGGTCACTACCTCAAGCCAATAAATAACATATGAATCCTCTGTTTTCTCTGTCTCAAATCACTTTGGTCGATAGAAAAATATTGGTTTCAGAATGAATTTGTATAAGCAATAGTGTGAATTACGTTAGTTGACAAGCTGTCTAAAAACCGTCTGCAGTTAATTTTAATCGTTCACAAAAAGTATATAGAAAGTTAAAACGTGAAGTATTTGGTTACAGTTAAACTGAACGATGTAACTTTTATTCATCTAATATCTGAATTTTCTCAAACAATATGTTCGTAGTAAAAGAGCGAGCGAAGTTTTAATTTAAGTTCTACAGCAAATTTACGCTCTCGGTGTGTCTTTCCGAGTCCGTTCAATTTGGACATCTGTACCGTAAATTGCACTAAAGAAACTGAAGGAGTTCAATGAGAAAAGGCCGCATTAAAATCCCCGTTTGTTTCGTTGGAGTGTGCCATTCGAATTTAGTTTTCGTGGAGGAAAGACCAGATTTACACACGCCATTGCAGCAATCAAACGAACAAACTCTCACAACTTCAAAATAAAAAAAATTGAATTTACTCGCATTTATTTTCCTCGCCGTTTACTTAATGAACAGAGGTAAATCTTCGTTCATGAATGAATCGTCAGTAAGAGTGAATAATACTTTCCGTTAGATCATTGACTGTTTTTGAAGGAAACATTGTCGAGACAGTCCTTGCCTAACTAGTTCCGTTGTTTTTCAAATGTTCTTGCGCTTTTTTTTTCTTATGCGCTCCCTAATTGACAGGTGTCAGATTGTGACAGATCATTGTAAAAATAATGTTTCTAAGTTTGTTTGGAAGCCTTTTAAATCACCTTTATCGTTACGGAAATGAAAATGTTTCGGTGAGGCATCTCTCTTTAATTTGCATCACCTCTATTTTAACTACCACTTACTCGCTCAAAACTTGTTCAGTTTATGAAAGATCTTGCCATATTTACAGCCCTAAATCATTCGGGTTCTTTCGGAAAGAACTTCGTCAAGTAAATGTGGGTGAAAAGTTAAATTTGCTGTCTATCATTGTAAATATTGGAAAATCAAGGCAATATTTTCTTAATGAAAACATTAATGATTCCCTCTTTATCAAATGAGACAAATGGGAACGAGTTTTGAGTGACATAACTAAGCTAAGAGTGCCACCGTCATTTTGGATTGCCACCTGGGTAGATTTTGGTCACTTGCTAGGCAACGTATACTCAAGAACAAAATAGAATTTCATTTCAGGCCTATTTATCCATTTTGTGGTTTATAAGTTTCGCAATTTGGTACGTAATATCTATTTAGAATCTTCAAATTGTCTTGAAACTTAAAAGAAAATTGTTGTTTAAAAATTCACTGGAAATCGGTAGCCAAAATTATTTGTTTAGATGTTATTTGATTTTCGTGTTAACCTGTAATTTCGTCAGTCGCCGGCATCCTTTGTTGCTTTACACAGGAAAAACACACGATACGAAATATAATGATCGATTTTGTCCCCAATCTTACGCCATAACAGAAAAAGCTTTTGAACACTTGTAAAACTCCGAGCGCTTCGGAGTAAGTGATATTTTTAATGAATCTTCGGATTGTTTTCAAGTTCAAAGATTGTAAATTGCAATTTTATGGAAAACGAAGGTTGTTCTCTTACTTTAGTGTGAATCCTCGCATGCCTGCTAGTCGCCAGCGCCACTTGTTGAAACTAAAACGAAAAAAAATAACTCTTTTTAAGATTATCATTGGCTTCTTTTTAACCTCACCACTATTCTTAGCAACCAAGGTCGCCATTTCGTTTGTTTATTACTCGCTAAAAACTACCAAATGCACTCAAAAGCCTAAAATTGAAAAAAAGTTTACAGGAATCGACCAATCGAGCGAGCGAGCGAGCGAGCGAGTGCCATCCTCCACATCCTATCTACAACTCGCTCTTGTGCATGCGCGCAATTCGCGAGTTAAAAAATTGGATTTCAAATAATGTCTCCCCTGCAGCTTCATAGGTATCCAAATTTCATAACATAGGAGCAGAATATTTAGTTTGCTAGTTTGGAGACAAATTTTCAACAAATAGGTTTCTCTTTGGAAGCTCAAAAGTATGTTATCAATGTCAGTGAATTTTGATGCTGGGGATTTATTTACACGGTTTCTAAAGCTAGCTTCTCCTTGAAGAAAAAATGTACTTACTTTGGAATCTGTTTGACTTTCTTCAGGAGCACATGTGAGGTACATTGAGTCTCAATCTTTCTCTTGCTTGTCATAACTTTCAACAGTCCACAATGAAAATAGCACATCTATGTAAGGAAGGAATTAACCTGCTTCTCGAAGATCTTGCTCGAATGGCCTGGAGCGTATACTTCGGTCGCTTTCTTTTTAAATGCGGAGTGTCGCTTTCGTAATCACCCAGAAATGCGGTGGCTCTGTTCCACTTAGAACTGGCTGTATCCCACTTCCGATAACCTTCAAGAAAATGGATGAATTTAAAACTGTGTAAATTAGAAGTATCTTTTTATCCACGATTGCAGTCATGGATTTTCATAAAATGCTGAGACATTGGTGATAGAAAAGATACATGATGTTTAGTCATTTATATGCATCTACTTTGTTTCTAGATGAAGACATTGTAATTTTGTTTAAACTCAGATGTAGGTAGCGTGGTGTTTCTAGAGATATCGAAATCTAGGAAACGTTGCTTAAGGAAATAAATACGTATTACGCGACAAAAATTGAATCGGATAAAGTCAGTGTGGAAACTTTATAGCCATCTATGTCTCACACTTGCTTGCTGTTCCCTGGGTGTGAAATTTTATTACACTGCTACTTTCAAATAAATATTATTTTTTTACCTTGTTGTAACCAAGGAGTCTAGGTACTCTGAAGAACTGTTGTACACCAGTCTTTCTTCTCTCGTGTTAAGCTGCATTCTGAGAAGATTCAGCAAACTCAAGGTTGTTTAAAGCGGTTGTAAACTGTTGACATCTTGGTGAAGTGAAGACCGAAGTGTGATCAGCTTTCAGGAGTTTTATCATAAAAGTCTTTGACAAGACTCGTCGGAGTCTCATCTTGGCTGTTGTTTTTGCTGTATTCCACGAGCAATGATTAACATGAAGGATTTTTGGTGAATCCGTACTTTTTCAGTGTCACATAGTAAAGAATCACCGTTAAAAATTCAAAAGTGATCAGATCGGCTGAGGTGCGCATGGCAGTAAAAAATATTGTTGGAATTCAATTAGTTTACATTCAAAGGCGCAAAATATTTTCAAATACCAATGATCGCTCATTATTTCAAATTCTTCCTATGCCATGTCTGCAACACCTTTTTCGTTTTCTTTTACACTTGAATAGAAGCTGAAAATATGCTATGTCCTGTCTAGGGTTTTTTAATTTTGTAAAGAGAGCGTCATTTGAATGATGCGCAGATCAAACCTATTAGATTTTACCGCAAGTGAAAGGGCCGGTTATTTAAATAACTATTAGCTATTGTTGAACAAAACCGCGTTCTAATCCAACTTCAATTTAGTCGAAACTTTTATCTGAACATTTATTTTTGTAAACAGTGTAAAGAGGACCGAACGCTTATAGTGGAAGGACATTTATTTAATTAGACGAACCCTCTAATACAGAAGCCCACCACTCGTGTAAAACCGTGGTTTGGGTTAGACCTCGTGTAAATAACCGGCCCAAAGTGTTAGGTTTTTTTATCACGCATCGGCGAAAGGCCCCAGTGAAACTACTTTTATCTTCTGCAGCGTAACGGCAATCACTGGAAAAATCATACCACACGTTATTGTTGCGACGAAAAACCGTTTAAACACAAGTACGTTGTTGTATATAGGAGGTCATTCTATTTCGGTTGGAGCATGCATCGCATCATTTTGTAGTGGTTAAAAATACTTTTATTTTGTTGTAATTCAACTCGAGCTACCTTGTAAATATGCTCTATAAATTCATGCCCGAGGACAAAACGCTATGCAAATCGGGAATAATTTAGTGCACATACTAATAGCGTGTCAGAGTCCCTTTAACTGCCTATAGAAACCCAAGTATCAAATAGCTCAGGCCGGCAGTAGTTACTTGCCGCGCGTTACTCAGACGTGACATTTTTGTAGAAAAACTAACAGAACCTATCGACTGGATGACTTACACATGATATCATGTGATATCATGTGTAAGTCATCCAGTTGATAGGTTCTGTTAGTTTGCTTGCGGTTGTTGTTTTTTCTTTATTTTTAATGCTTGCATCACTTGTTAATATTTTGAGATGTTTTCGTTATTTCTCATGCTACGTTAGGGAGACTTGGGACCACAATTGGTGACTTATCATCAAACTTGAGGCATATATCACATTCATGTCGTGTGACTAGTCTAACGTGGGTGATTAAGATCCCTTCAAGACTACATCACAACCATCTGTTGAAACTTCAATTGAGACAGACACAGCAAACCTGCGAGCCTTCCTCAAACCAGGGAAAGATATTCTTTAGGTGCTACTCAGGCACGTGAGTACTCATACTTTATTTACCGAAACCAATAACACATCCTTCTTGAGCGCGGTGTTATTAAATTCGATCGATCATATCAAAAATGGCGGATGAACTTGCAGAAATCCTAAAGGAAAAGGCAAAGCAAGCAATTGGCGTCCATTCTTCAGACCTATATGATCTGAGCAAAGGAATATGGAAGAACCCACAACTGAATTTTAAGGAAACGTATGCTCACGAGCTACTAACGAAGTTTTTGGCGGAGCATGGTTTCTGTGTTACACCTCATTACACTTTGGATACGGCTTTCCGAGCTGAGTGCGGAGAGGATGGAGGTCTAACAGTTGGTATTATCAGCGAATATGATGCTTTACCAGAAATAGGACACGCTTGTGGACATAATCTGATCGCTGAATCAGGAGTAGCAGCAGCTTTGGGTAAACTTTACGTCAGTAATTGTCTGTATCAAATTAATGTATGCAAGTAGAGGCAAAATAATTAGGTCTCGTTTGGTCTGTTATGATTTGTCGTCAAACTGTGTAATTCCACAGATAGGGCAAATTTGGCTTTAAAACTTTTCAAAATTGTTGTTAAAGGCGTATTTAACGAAACGATTTTGTGCCAGTGAGGTCAGGTTAAATATTAGTACAGTGACGTGGACGAATTAGCATGTAACTTCTCCCTATAATATCCATACACTTTCCAGCTAACAGGTAATGAAAATAATCAAACATATCAGGTGGAATTTTTGGTCTTGATCTAACACCAAATTCTCATGACTAATTTGTATAGGTAATCACATGATTTCGAGTGCAATTTGGAATAAATAAGCACGAGCAAATTTTTTTAAAGACTAACAAAATTGCACGAGCCCGTAGGGCGAGTGCAATTTGTGGTCTTTGAAAAAAATTAACAAGTGCTTGTTTATTCCAAATTGCACGAGAAAAATCATGTGATTACGTGTTAATAATATTCATGGAAAAACACGAGATGGCTTATCATAATAAACAAGCAAAGCGCGCGCGTCAAGTGCAAAAATCATTTATTCAACCTTGCGTTCGGTCAAAACAACCGCGTACGATCAAAATAATAATAAATTATGCAATGATATCTTCACATCTTTAAGGTGCAAAAAAGTTCAAAGTCCGGCTAAACAGTTCAAGGAATTGTTCAGTCTGTGTCCTAATCACTTTCGATGAAATGGAATCGTCGTTTCCGAGGTTTAACCATGTTTGTTTTTAATTTCGGCGTGTGATCGCTCGAGCAGAGTGTTAAGCTGGGTCGGCTCGTAATTTTCGATTTCCTCGGCAATTCCCTTCTCTAAACACCACTTTTTCCATACCGACAACCAAAAAGCAGTGCTTTTTACAGTGTTTTCGTTGTTTACGCTGTTTTTCAGCTGCGGTGGCGAAAGAAAGCCTACTTAAAACACCGGCCATCGTTTCGCTCGCAAATTTTCAAATGTTCAAATTTTCAAATTTTCAAATTTTCAAATTTTCAAATTTTCAAATTTTGTTGCGACATCCAAGGCTCGCATTTGATTGGCTATCTGTGAGTTTCTTTGATTATTGACCAATCAGAATGTCTGATTTGTTTCTTTCTTTGCACTGAATTAACCCTCTTCTGCACTGAATTAACTCTCTTCTGCACTGAATTACCTGAAAACTGCATTTATCTTAACCAATCAGAACTAAGTAATTTTTCCATGTATATTATTAAAAAAGAAAATGTGCAGCAGCTAGATGGGAAAATTAACAATCAGATCTTGGGTAGTTAAGGGGTTTTTACCCTCGTTTCTATGAGATTCCAATACAAGGTTGAGTCGCAGTTTGTGTGAAGTAATAATATCACATTTCTGTACCGTTCTAATTTCGCTTTGAAAAAATTAAAATGCTCATTCTCCCAATAAATCACCGCAGGTCTGAAAATTGCATTGGATTCAGTAAATCAGAAACCCAAAGTCAAAATTGTTCTTCTTGGAACTCCTGCTGAGGAAGGAGGAGGGGGAAAGATTTTGATGATCAACAATGGCTGCTTCAAAGATCTTGACTTCTGTATGATGGTTCATCCTGCCGATATAGACGAGCTTAAACCTCCATGTTTAGCTATCGAACAAGTCAAAGTTACTTACCATGGTCATTCCTCGCATGCTGCCGCATCCCCTTGGAAAGGAGTCAATGCATTGGATGCAGCAGTCATGGCCTATACGAGTATAAGTGTATTGCGACAGCAGATGAAGCCCAAATGGAGCGTTCATGGTGTTATCACGGAGGGAGGTGTGAAGCCAAACATCATTCCTGATCGCGCACAGATCCAATACTACATCCGAGCTCCGACCGACAAGGAACTTGATGTCTTGAAAGAAAAGGTCATAAATTGTTTCGAATCAGCAGCCACGGCCACAGGTGAAATAGACAGAAGACAATTATGACAATTAGCTGTAACATTTCTGGTTATAGAGTGCGATTGCCTGAGGCTGTTTGCAGTGACCACAGGTAGCCCAAGCTTGCACAATGAGCCTCCGTGAACATGTTTGTGTCCTACAAGGGACAAAATAAATGCATTTGCAGGACAACAGTTGCAATATTAAGCAAACAATCTAAAATATTGATATCTAAAAACAATTTAACTTCCCTTTCTTTGAACCCTGTGACTTTCTTAGGCTGATGTGCGGTTCTTTAGCTCTGCTTTAATCCCCCCGCCATCCCTTTGCCCTCTAAATCGTCACTTCCGGATTCCGTCACTCACCGTGGGAAAGACTTCTTGAGAGGCCAAAGCGTGGGAAACATACCAAGCATACGAAACTCACTAGATCTAAAGGAAGTAAAGTTTGTTTTTTATTTTTATGAAATTAGTTCAGATTGTTGGATTAAGATTGCGACCTTTCATTCTCATGCAAATCCTTAAATTTCCCTTACTGCTCGACACAAACATATTTACACATTTATGGAGGCTCAATCTGCGTTCTTGCACTTCCTGTGAAGTGATTGGAAGTTTTTGCCTCACTCATTGATTTTCCTCGTTATTCTTTTCTAGGATGCACGGTATCTATTGAATGGGATCCAAAACGTTACTCCAGTTTGGATACAAATGACACACTGGCAAATCTCTATCAAGCCAATGTCATGACCTTGGGAGTAGCGTTCAATCCTCCAAAGAAAGAACTGAGTGGCTCTACAGATATGGGAAATGTCTCCCAAGTAATCCCGTCAATCCACGTAATGTACGGTATTGGCAGCGACGCTGTGAACCATTCTCATGCATTTACTTCAGCAGCAATAACGGAGATTGCCCACGAGAGAACTTTGATTGCAAGCAAGGCGATGGCCATGACTGCTATTGATGTTCTATGCAATCCCGAATTTATGCAAAAAATCAAGAAGGACTTTGATAGAACACACAGCCTCTGACCAAGATACGCTTCAGCTAATAGCATGCCGCAAAATGGGTACAATTAAGGCATTTTCATATAAACCATCCCAAATCAAGACTATTTTGTAAGATTCCCCAGATACCTGTTTCTAGTAAATAGTCAAACCTGTAATCGAACCAGGCGCTGCATACTTGCTTAGCCCCAAATTTGATCCTGCATGTAGAAACAACTAAAAATTGTGTCAGTACTATAAGCTATCTTATAAAATTGTAATTTTTCATATTTCACTCAGTTGAACTGATATAGTAGCGTACATTTCCAATATAATCACTGCTGCTGAGCTTTGAACAACAATGAACAATATTTTGCGATTTTACCATTTGGCGGAAAGTTCGTGTGACAATCACGCAACTCACTTTGGATTCGTGATCACAATTCGCACCTTGTCCATCGCACGCACCACCTTCGCATCACCACTCTCGCATCATTTTCTTATTAAGCAATAGGAAAAAAAATAAAGGACCTCGGTTTTTTTCATGTATTTATTTTGTTGTCTTAGGCCATATATTTTCACCTCATTTTCGTCTGTGATCCTTTGCTGACAGCTGTTTGGTTCTATGGACTGTCCGTTCCTTGCATCCACGTTTCACAGGGGAGGTGTCAAGCAAGTGTATTCATAGAGAGTTTTTCTCCCTCTTTATTTTGGATCCTTTTTTTACTCTCAAATATTAAATATATGAAAATATATATATATATATATATATATATATTTAAATGACACGTAAGCAGCTGAACTGTTTTTTTTGTTTTGTTTTCATCAAAATCAGTACCATGCGTAGGCGGGGGGGATCCCTAGAGGGGTGGGGGTAGAGTAAGATATTTCTTCCCAGTGTTATGCAGTAAGTTGTTTGTACCATGATGTCAGGGGGGCACCACGAGTGAATGTGAGATTTAGTTTTGATTTTAAAAAACTCAGTTCGGCACTGATATTAATTTTTAGTCACCTAAAAGAGGGGGGGGGCACGGGCCTCCATGCGCCCCCCCCCCTTGGATCCGCCACTGTGATATGATGTGATCACTTCCAACATGGACCGCCACGTTTCCTTCAGGCGACTAGATACGCGTTATGTTTATGTAACTGGATAGTACTCAAAGGTATTGATTGGCATCCATGCTTCCGGAATTTCCATTCCGCTGTCCCGATCGCACCTTTTATTCTGCAAGTCCCAGAAGCCGTTGATCAAAACACTCGACGAAAAGACGCTGCACGAAGGCGGACCACCGAGGGAATATTTTTTCAAAACAAAAGGAATTTTAAGTGAGTTCAATCAATAACGGTTGACTCGGTAGAAGAAGTAACCGTTTCCACAATGCAGAGATTGCTATCCAGAGCATCGGATAGTTTTTACTCCACGAGTTTTACATAGTTTTCGCTACAATTCCCAAATTTCGTCTGAAAATCTGACATATAGAAGTGTAAAAGCAACATTTACGTTTTTGACAAAGGAGCAGCAAGCGGAAATCAGGTGACATGTAATTTCTTCCTATGATATCCATAAGCTATTCAGCAAACAGGTAATGAGAATACTAAAACTTATCAGGTAGATGTTGATTTTGATCTTGATCTTCCACCAGATTCTCAAAACTACATGTAATTTACAAGGAAATGTGTTTCAGTAAGAGGGGAGAATTCACATTCAGATCTTGGCAGTAAAGGGTTTAAATTGGGGTTGCTACCCACTATGAAATTTGATTAATTTTTTGTCCATCCTAGATGAGATTTCTTCCAGTTTTGCTAAATTTCTGTGTATTATTTTTTGGACTTATAGGTCTCAAGTGGCTGTGGATGCAGTTGATCAGAAACCAAAGTCAAAATAGTACATCTTGGAACTACTGCTGTGGAAGGAGGCAGGGAAACAATTTTGATGATCAACATTGGCTGCTTCAAAGATCTTGATATCTGTATAATGGTTTATTCTTCCCAAGTTATCCTTAAGCCGGTGGGGGTTCAATGGCCTGAGCTCATGACAGTGTTACATTCACCTACAAAGGTCATGTAGCTTATGCTGCAACATTCCTTTGGGAGGGAATTGATGCATTGGATACAGCTGTCATGCCTAATACAAACATAAGAGTACTGCAACAGCAGATGAAGTTCTAATGGCAAGTTCATAGTTTTATTTCTGAGGTTGGGATCAAGCCAAACATTGTACCAGATGGGGTTCAGCTGATCCTGAAACATAAGGGGTTCCAACTGTGAGGAACTTGAGGTCTTGACAGAAAAAGTCTCTAGTTGTTTTGAAGCTGTTGCACTGATGACAGGTAAGAGTAATAAAAGTAATTTGGCAGATTTTTAAGTATTTTGATTAAAAAAATCAATTTGAGAGGTATTAGTTTTGACAGTTCTTGTGTCATACTCAGTTTAAATTGATATAGGTACTTAGGGTGAATGTACAGGAATATAACAGAACACTATAATTAAGTGAGTGACAAAGCATGGCTATAGAGAACATGTTCAAATAACATGATTCAGTTGATGATTTAATGTGGGTTTCTCCTATTGAATATGTAAAGATTCTTCAATCTCAAATTGTAAACCCCGGTTTCCATACTTTGTTTATTTTTTTTTTAATTGGTTGGCACATCAAATACCTTCTATCAAAGGTGATCAGGGAGACATGCTTGTTACAGCCTCCCTAGCTTTTTTTCTTTTTCTTTTTTTTGCTGCTTGACAAAGGAAAAAGTGGTCCATCCACAAAAACCACAAGTTTTCCTAATTATCTTCCCATATATTTCACCCTATGATTACCAAAAACTACTGAAGAATAACCAGCTAGTTAGTTTGATAACTTCCATTTATTAGGTTCTTGTTCCTTTCATGGTATCATTATATATTCAGGGGGAAACATTTTCAAAGAAAATTTGGGTCTTTGAAATATAACAGGTTTGTCTTCTCTGAACTGCCATATAATTCTGGCTATGTTCTGGGTGTAAGTTTGAATTAAAAAGGCAGTTGCTAAGAATGGATAGTGAGCATCCTCTTGTTACTGTGGGATTAAATATTGAGAATTCTCATAAATAATCAATGTGTTTGTTTTATGGATTGGTTATCTACATTTATCCCTTCAGAAGAGATGTTGACAGTTTTAGATTTCTGAACTATTCTTTATTCAAGTTATAGTCAAACTATAGAGGAAAAGAAAATGCATTACATAGTTACAAAAGCACAAGAAAATTAACACTACTTACAGTTCTGGTTGCCTTCTCTTCTGCCTGGTAACAATTAGGTTTCTACTTACAGCCAGCCTTTAAAATACCAGTCCTAGGAAGGTTAATTAACTTAATTAATGCAGCATGCCATATACAAAATATTTTGTTTCCCTTCCTTGGAGAATGAAATAAATTAGATATGACTTTGTTTCTTGTTTCAAAGGGTGCAAAGTGCATGTGGAATGGAATCTATTACACTATTCCAGTGTGGATCAAGCAGACCTCTACCAGGCTAATGTCAAGTCTTTTGGTGTAACCTTTGACCCACAAGTGCAACAGCAAACATGGGGCTCACCAGATATGGGAGATGTCTCAAAGAAAATTCCTTCAAATCATGTACTTTATGATATTGGATGTAAAGCTTTAAACCATTGTCATGCATTCATGGCAGCAGCAATGACAGAGTATGCCCATGCAAAAATGCTGATTGCAAGCAAAGCAATGGCCATGACAGCTATTGATATTCTGCATCATCCAGAATTAATGCAGGAAACAAGAAGTTATTTCAAAAATAGAACATTGGTACATGTAAATGAAGATCTTGATACAACAATATTTTGAACAATTCTGACACAGTTTTTTTAATGTACTGGTATTTTAAAGTTCTACGCATGAAAATAAAAAATTCTAAGGTAAAGGGAATGATCATTTGTCCATGCATACTTTTGAATGCCATGATACACAAAAATGTATACATTCATTTTGGAATGAATTTTAATTCTAATGAAGAACTGTCATTGTTAACCCTGTAAATCCCAGAAATGATTCGCATGTAACTTCTCCCTATAATATCCATAAATTATCCAGCACACAGGTAGTAAGAATACTCAAACAAATCAGGTGGAATTTGTCATCTTGATCCAACACCAAATTCTCATAACTGATTCACAAGGAGAATTGTGTTGCAGCTAGAGGGAAGAATTAACAATCAGATCTTGGGACTAAAAGGGTTAAGTGATGTTGAGAACAACTAACTCTTTGTTTTATATGAAGTGTATCTCTGGACATCACACATATCCCTTCCCTTTTTCCATCAAAAGATAACAAATAGGGCAGCTTCAGAAAAATCTATCAATACAATAAGACACCGCTTGTTTTAACACAATCAATGGGTTGTATCGTGTTACAAATTTTAATGTGTCCAATCTACAAATACATACTAAAATATTGACAAAGACACTTCTTGTAAAACACACATACATAGAAGAACTAATTTAGCTTTATCAAAATACCTACAAATATAACATAGCCAAGAACAAGGGATTGCAGGTCAACTTAAAAATTCTTACAACTTTCTACTCCATCAACCTAGTTCTCAGTTCTTGGATTTGGGGGAAACCTCAATATGATGTCTTTTCAGAATATAAACATGTACTAGCTGCCTAATGGTAAGTCTCTTTCCTGTAAACCACTACATTTAATTTCTGTCTACACAAGAATAACAATTTGATACATCTTATCTGGCAAACAAATTTTTTCAACCTGGCAGATTCACTCATATACATGTAATAGAGACCACTTTACATTTTTTGCCTTGATAGGTTTAAGATGTCATAATTATGTTTGTTGTAGCATACACTATCTATCACTACTTCTACAATAGCAAATTATATGAGGATTTCATAGAGAATATATGTATGCACAAGATAAAATTATGTCTCAATCCTTTCACTCCCAGAACTCATTTGTAATTCTCTGTTCTTTCTACCATACAATTCTTATGACATTAGTTTGGAGAATTTGGTATTGCATCATTAAATAGTCTCCTCATTGATATTTTTCTTTATTCTCATTACTTGTCTGCTTGATCATGTATTGGTATTATAAGGAGAAATTATGTCTTGGTTGCTAAAGGAAGTTAAAGAGTTAAATTGCACAGTTGCTGCTGCCTTTAACTGTGATCTCTCTCCAGTGACAGAGAGAGTGAACTATGCTATAAACAAAGCCTATTTTTACTAGAGGAACAACAGGCAACTGATGCTAAAATTCAATACCATTGTCTTCCATTTAAATTAATTGCAAACATCATACTCTTGGCAAAGGATTTCTAACTCTTCTTTAAACTCCCCAGTGTATTCAGTGGTGAAGTTTTTGATAAACTCGACCACAAATTTCGCTGGCAATGCATTGCTTAAGTTGAACTGAGAATGTGTTTCCAAAGCATCATACAGTTTTAGTGTGAGCAGTTGGATTGGTGTCTGATACGAACCTGAAAGACATGAAAGTCTCTTTGAAAAAATAAAATGTTCCACCTCTTGATCTGACACCTGAATAGTGCAGGTTTGCATAGACTCTCTTATCCTTTCAATCACAATCCTTTCCTCCGGTGTTAGAATCTCTTTAAAATGCTTCTGTGTTGCCATGCCAACAACCTTTAACTGATTGTTTATCCAGGAGACAACAGGGCCGCCTGAATTTCCAGAATTCAAGGAGCAGTTCAACACTGCCATTAAATGACCTGATAAAGTTTCCTTAGAGCCAGAAACATTACCAGTCACTAAAAGGGCAGTTTTTCCTGTGTGACTCAAAGGATAACCAAACGAGAAAATCTGCATTCCTGGAAGCAATGGCTGGATTGATAACTGTAATGGACAAATGTTTCTTTGCTGTGAATTAAGATCCTGGCAATATAGCAATGCGAGATCTTTTTCTGGATCACAATGGGCAATCTTACAAGACAATTCACCAATGGATGCATTAGAAATGTGAATTTCATAACTGTCTTCCTTATCTAGATACGTCTGAATCACATGCTTGTTGGTGAGTATAAAGTGATCACAAATGATGAATCCTGAGCCATGCTCAATATCACACTTGGTAGTGGCTACTTTATAGTCTTGTTCAATATCAGCCCTCATGGCTTCCACTTCTTTCTTTCTGTTATCAGTTATGTGCCCACTTTCAGGATACTTCTCAAAAGGCTTTTGTGTATCAAAATAATCCAAAGATTGTTTTATGTCAAAAATGTCAAAAGTTTGAAAAATACTTGGCATTCCACTCTCATCTTTCTTTGTAGGGAATATGTCCACATCTCCGTTAAAGGAGCCTGCAAAACAATCTCTCACAGAGCGCTCAGCTTCACTGCGGGAATATTCACGAGCTGAGAGCTTTGATCTATCACTCTTGAGAAACTTCTCATACTCTTTGCTTAAATCAGCTCTGTGTTCATCAATCAAATTCTTTAGTTTGTCAGACCCAGGTCCATGATCAGGATATTTATGAAGCCGCCGCAAATCTTTGTCATGACGGCGAAGTGCATCATGCAATTTAAAAATGCAGTACACTTTAAGGGAAGGACATTCAGGATATTTACATATCTCACAAGGAAAAACTGGATCATGAGAAACATAAAAATGCTTGTTATGATAACATGCCTTCAAACACTCTACTGCGACCCATTTTTGTTCATATTTGTGCAGAGTACCAGTAGAAGCAACTGCTTCTTCATACTTCTTTTGCAGATCAGCCCTGTGGGAGCTGATTTCCATGTACACATCTCTTTCTTCGTAACTGCATGTTTCAAGACTGTATTTATCATGCTGATCAACAGCTTCACGAATGTCCTCAATGTTGTACTTATCACGGTTCACAGATGGTAGTTCTATCTTCCCATCCGATAGAAAGTTACCAGCATAACAATCCCTCACTCGTCGTTGTGCAACACTCAGAGAATATCGATGTCTTTTATCTGGGTTACAAGTGGCTTCCTTCAACTCTTTTTCGATGTCAGCTCTTCGTTTGTCAATCAATAATTTCGTCTTCTCAGACCCAGGCTCTCCTTTTGGATACTTTTCAACGTAACTTATGTTGTCAAACTTATCAAGTGCGTTGTAAATATCGACAACATTAAACGTTTTTTCCAATAAACAATTCCTATCTTTGTCACGTGAAGGGCCTGGAAATTCTTCCCCTACCACTGAATTTAGTCTCTCGGGAGAAGCATAACAATTCTTAACTCGCTCCCTTGCCTCTTCATAGTAATATCTTCGTGTTTCTGGTCTGCCGTAAATTGTCACCTTCACACAGGCACGGAGAGCTTCTCTACCCTTGTCGCCTAAAACATCACCATTACCCGTGGTTTGGTCTTTGGGTCGAGTGTAATTGTAATCAGCCATTTCTAACGAGGCTTGTGATAGAAGGAGTCTTTTCGTTGAGTTTTGCTCGCGATAACAAAATATTCCCACCAGTCTAATCGTAAACACCAAAATAAGTCGCTGATTCAGGTTGTTTCCAACGTGTTCTTTCAATTATTTAAATGGTGCAACATCTTAATTAGCGCCAATCAGTTAGAGCCAGTCCACTCACGGTGATACAATACAATACAATACAATAAGAGTTTATTGTGAAAATACACTTAGCTACAATAATGGTGTGCTTTCACAGACGAAACCGAAATCGGGGTCTGTGAAAGCACGCCAGCTAATTTACAGGTATTCCACAAACACAATAAAGTTAAGAGTTAAAAGAAATAATAATAAAAAAAATAACAGCAGTTAGTCACGTAATAGACCAGCTTTAATACAATTTACACTGCTGATGAATTCAAGCATCCAAACTGTAAGGTGCATTCCTGTTGTCATTTTGCCATTTTCTTTCGTAATGTTCTTTTATTGCCTTCCACTCATATTATTCTCGTTATAGCTAGCTTTATAGTGCCTATTTGTTCCGTTCCAGCGCGTTACGTACTACAGGCCTTTTCCAGCAGGTACGGCCCCCTTACATACGATTAGGCCATCTTTTAGAGGAAGGGCCTGAAACTCGGCGGCTGAAAGTGAACAAACTTAAAAAACGAGCCACTTACCAGGTCCCCTCTCTGATCTGTTGTCTTCCGCGCTCTCCCGTGTCACAATCGCCTCTGCAAGAGACCGCTAGACCGTTTTAAGCTCATACATGCTAAAAGCAATGACTGAGGTATTGTGGTGAAGTAGATGTTGACGGAAGTTGTATTCTGTGGACGAAAGTTGTAGCGTGGACCGTGAACGGAAGTAAGGGGGGTAAGTTTCTAAAGAAACTGTGGTGCTACGTCGGTGGGAGAGTATAGCAGGTAATTTAGTGTTAAAAACTGAGTTGAAAACGTAAATTAGCCACCTTAAAGGATAAAAAAGCTGACGTTTCGAGCGTTAGCCCTTCGTCAGAGCGATTGGAAGTAATGTAACGAACGGAAATAGTCTCGCATCCTACCCATTCCTACTTAGTAAAAGTCAAAATTAATCTCGATGAAGCTCAGAAACTAACATGGAAAAAAATAAAATGTTTGTATGGTTTTATTAAAAATAATAATCTCAAATCACATTTCCGAACTTCTGAAAATGCAACTTGAATCGAGAAGCCGAAATGTTCACACCAAGGGGATCCGTAGCGGGTTCATTTCAACACACGCCGTGACCACGCAGAAGGGTATCAGAGTTAAGCCGCGCATCTGCGTTCGTCTTGAGTTGGTATATAATAATCACTGCTCTATCAATTTACTTGTCCTCGGGAGCTCTTCAACATACAGTTCACACATCAATCATAGCGGACAAGATAGTCTCACTGAAAATTTTTTTTCGAGCCCCGATATTTCGGTCCGGACCTGAGGCTCGCTCGAACAAAAACAGTAATACCAATCCGGTCAGTAAAAAATGCCGACAGCAGATTGCAGACCGGGTACAAAATGCAGACTAGGTACAAAATGCAGACTGCAGACCGGGTACTAAATGCAGACCGAGAATTTATACTGTTTTTTTCGTCTAATACGTGATAGCATGTCATCTTACAACTTACCGAGCGTCACGCAATCGCTTTTCCGCACTGTTGTGGAATATTCCTTGCCCGTTTCTTAGTCACAATCGTTCTTAATATAATTTCTAGCCTACGTGTAGTATTCTCACTCTGCGCGCGAGTGTGTTGGTGTGATGCCTGGACAGAATTTACCAACTCAATAAAAGTAGACGTAGATGTAGATGTAAATGAGATATCACTATTGAATATTTAACATGCGCACTGTTCGAGAAACATTTGACAGTTTTGCACGTGTTCAATACGTTTCATCGTTTTAACCGATATGTGTTCATTTTGTTGAAAAAAATGCGAACCGAGACCAAAACTGTTCCTTCGACTTGATGCATTTTCAACGTTCAACCGATTTTCACGTATGTGCCTTATATTGTTATTGGCTTACATGAAGAACCTGAGAATTTTTATAAGGAAAAGCGAAGCGTTGCTTTCGTGACTGGCCATTTGTTTACTTTTCTGGTGGTTTTCTCACTTATCGGATTGGTGACTACGCAAATATTAATATGTGATAATCAGATTTTATGAAGGCTTAAAATTCTATTAAGAACGATTGTGGCCGCTCTGTTAAAAACCAAAACCGATAGCCGCTTTGTTTAAAACAGAAGATATCAAGAAACGGCCAAGAAATATTTCACAATAGTGCAAATGATCGTGAAAGATGAGGGTCACTAATATTTTGCTGCTAGAGCAACATTTGATGCCTGATTATGCCCACCCAGCCCACCCTCCGCCCCACAAACACACACACCCACACCAACAAAAAGGACGCTCACTGCCTAATGACCTCTGTCCATTCCATCTACAGCCCACACAACCTTTATTTCAATTCCATCACGACGAATGCACAAGTTTTCTTATCACACAACTGCACAAGAATAAAAAAATTTATTCCAAAAGCCTTGAAAGTTCACATAAACCGGATTCAACTGTACCTATATTCAGCAAGTCCAAGAAATCTATGCAAACTTAATCCATAACATGAATGAGCTGGCTCCAAGAGCCCTTTGATTCGTATTAGTGACCTTCCGATAGATGAGAACCGAAATTACTTCCAAGGAACAAGGTTTAGGCACCCCTGGACGAAACCTCACTTAGATCTCCTTGGTCTCAGCCCAAATTTATTTGGAACTTTTATAAAATTATCTGATTAATCAACAACATCGCTGCGAGCGATGTCTTTGTAAAAGCTGATGTATAGCAAAAACGAACGCAAAAGAGCAAATCACAACCCTGACAAAATTTTTCTTTTAAACCAGTACCTTGTGATAGATATTGTGTGTTAAATGAAGATAACATTAAAGCAGTCAAAACTCTTAAGCTACCCGCTCAATATGGATTGACTCTTAAGGGCCGATAATTTTCACGAGGTCTAACCCAAATTGGGGTTTTACGCAAGCAGTGGGCCCCAAGGAACCTCTATAAGAGGTTTGATTTAATTAAATAAATGTACTTTCTCTAAAAGGTTTAGGCCCTCTCGACCGCACTGTTCACAAAAATAAGTGTTCAGATGTAAGGTTCGGCTACGTTGAAGATGGCTTAAAACGCGGTTTGGTAAAACAACGGCTAAACTTTGTGTAAAACCCCGCTCTACGAGTTTCAAGTCAATCCGTGGATTAAAGGAAGAGGATGATGGAAAATCCACGAGTTAGACCTGCATATTTTCCCGAAACCTTAATAATTTTTTCACTATTGTAATCATTTTTCTATTATTGAGCATCAATTGATAAATCAAGGAAGTGAGACATGTAGTTAATTACTGTTGCCCATAGGTTTCTCTTCATTAAATCTTGTAGTGTTAATTAGTGAGAATCGGTCAAACTCGAGTATTCGTGACGAAGCAAGTGGTTGAAAAAACTCTCTCACGAGTCCATAACTTAACGTGTCTTTTAAATAAGAGGCAGCCAAATGGTCCAATTGTAGATAAACCCTTGAAAGCATAGCTGCCGTCGTTCTTGAAAATTGATCCAGCGAAACTTCCTTTTGGATCTCACCTCAGATTTTCCGGCTGGAAATTAATTCAATGGCCATTTCTGGATGAAGGTTACATGAATTGTTCATCGATTGCACTCATTCTCCACAATGATTACGCTCCACTAAATAGTCAATTTACGCCTTGGAGAATGTTACTTTCATTTAATATGCTAATTCTTACCACCAACATTACGTAGACTCGCTGACTCATTCGACGGCGTGGCCTTCAAGTTAGAAAGTCGAATTTGTGTTTGATAAATTTTGATGAGTTGGGCACCACTCTGTTAAGGGAAGGGGAGATTTCCGTTTTCGTAGAAATTTTTTAAAACTTAACTGCAACTTTAGTTCTGAGATCGTTGTTACAAAGGAATTTTTTGTGTCAAAACCGAAAAGTTTTATAGCGTTTTAGAGGTGCCCCCGTTCCGCAAATCTCTTGGTGATTACAACACATAGCCGGAAAACTACGAACTGTACGAGATTTAATTAAATTTTTATTGCAAGCATTTTTAAACTCAGCTTAAGGCTGGTTAACATCGTAAATAAAAGCTCAGTTTTCAGTTTCAGTTTCAATTCAAGACCAGTAAGGGAAGAAATCCGACTACCTATGATCGATCAATAAGTTGCATAATAATTGTTTTCACTTTTGATACTATGGTTGTCTTGTCAATGTGCATATAAACTAGATACTAACGAAAACATAAGTCGCTAGGAAACTTACAGGAAATGTTTAAGAAATCATCAATAACAACAACAGAAAAAATAAGAGAGAAAGCTTTGCATTCTGTATAAAGTTTTCCATCAGGATTAATTAGTGTTCCACTGTCATCTTGCGCTACAATCTTATGACCCATTCACACCGAAGCTTTCATGGTTGCAAGCGTTTTAAAGCTGATTTATCGACAAATATTTGAAATTCTATTTCTTGATAGAAGCTGCCAAAAATGATTTTTGCTGACTTCAAATTTTAGCACAAACACGCATAAAAGAAATAAAAGTTGGTGGTTACTGGAATCCTATGAAAAATTTAAACCTCCAACTTCTAGTAGCTGGCTTTTGATTAGTTAAAACTGGTTTAACTAAACGTGTTTTGCTGGTGTGAATAGGGCATTAGGCAGGCAAAGTATCGGTTAAAAGTATATATCTTTTTTAAATTCAAGTCCACTTAAAAAGACGGTACCTACATCTTTTATCATTAATATTCATTAAGGACAAGGCGCCACCAATGTTTGTACCAAGACACTTCGCATTGTGTGTATATGTGAAATGGCGAGGGATTTTTCGCGCTTCTTTGAAAATGAAGTCATCAGGGATTCCGTTATCACACCCATTGTGCTGTTTCTGTAAATGCAAAAAACAAATAAGAGTCAATGGCAATATTTCGTAATAGTGAAAAAGGCACCAGCATTTCATGCCTCTTTGCTTAGGCCAGCAGAGACTGAACGAGATCGCTGCAAATTTTGGAGTTCCGTGCTAAAGAGGCTAAAGGTTACATTTTTATTTACTTTTTTAACTACTTGGGTACTACATGTGAGTGTTTCTGTATTGAAATGTCTTCTACTAAGAGGACAACTAAAAAAACTCCACCTATAACCCAGAAGAGGATTTCCACCGAAGCATTAGCAGGAGAATCGCTTGCAAAATTGAGTAAAGTGAAAAAGATAACACGCCTCTTCGCTAAATGACTATCTGATCAATTAAGCTATAGTTTTATTCAGATATGAGCATAAATATGGAAAAAAGAGCAAACATTTCCAAAGTCTGCCAATTAAGCTTGTTTATTCCGTACAAACAGCTTTTCTGTGTTTCAGAGTCAGTTTTACTATAACGGGTTACACAGATCTACAGCGTCAGCTCTGTCTTGTGTCAGCCACGTAGTATCTACTCACCTCAAAAATTATATTAGTCGTAGTGTCGACCTTCAACGCATATTTAACTTGGCTAGCTGTGGTGAATTCAATGCACTTTCCTACTGTTCCATCTTGTGCCGTAACAGTAACAATGGTAAATCCTAAAAAAGAAATAACAACTTTGATTAGAAAAACAGCTTTACATGCATTTAATATATTACGTTCAATGTGAGGTTGTTTATTGTCCATTACAACTATTTGGGATTTACGATTCTGTAAGTTACCAGATGACCACCCACTCCCTGACAAATTTCATATTAAATTTAATCCTTCTTTTAAACTTAAGAGGTTTTTTTTTCTAACCATGCTTTCAAAATATGCTTTAGCTTGAATTTTTTAGGCGGTTTAAAGTCTAAAATATTTAAGCATATCAAAGATTTTGCTGGTGTCGCTCCTCACTCACTCGTTGCCGGATCTGTCGTAAGAGTACCACGAACTTTTACTTTACACGTAGTCGCACCAGCTGAGCAACTTTGAATCTTCAGAAGACAGCCACTAGTTGTAAGAAGAGACGTTCGACAGAGAGCCGAATAAATGTTCCTATCTTTGCGTGTGTTTGACTCGCCAAATTCCACATGAACCAACAAACAGACAATAGCAGTCTATGTGAGAAAGAAAGAAAAAATTAATCATGTTTGGAAGTGACCCTTCCATGTTAATCCTCGTCTCATAAGTTTTCATCACACCGTGTCTTATTTAAATCTTTTTTTTAACATTGGTAGATGATAGCTAAAATACTAGATTGTACGGTAACAATTGGCCGATCGAATTCGGAAAGTTTCGTAAACTCACTGAGTCTTCAAAATCAATACGCAAAAAAGCTTAGCTGGTGTGTTTGAAAACTGAAGCAGCTATGAATTTCCTTGGCCACAAATTTCATTATATGAGAAGACGAAAACAAAATTTAAAAGTTAAACTAAAAACAGTTGACGTGAAAAAGAACCTTCCTTTGTTAAAAGTAAGTAATGATACTGACTTCACACTTACCACAAAAATATCTCTAAATTCCATGCTGTCAGATCTCTTTCTCTCTATATAAGCAGTTTTAGTAAGATTCATCCAAGTTGGAGTCGGAATAGCTTCTTTTACACCAGCTCGTTCTTTTATACCATTTCATTCGCTTTTGAAATACCAAACATGTAACTGCTAAAGAATTTAATGTCTCATAGAAATTTGCCACTTCCGTAAAAGCTATCCCAGAAAAGTTTACCAAAAAAGTCTTAATTATTGGCACGGATATAGCAAGGTTATTACTCTTTATTTCAACCCAAGAGCTTTTTTTACATTAAAGTAACTTTCTTGATTTAAACGTAAAATGGGAAAAAATCGCATTCGAAATTATCAACCTTAAATAAAAGTTGTTTTCCATCTGACAAAAATTCGTCGATTGTGTGCTCGGTCCTTAAGGGCAAAAATGTACCAAAAATGTACCACAAAAAGAAAAAAGCACGAAAGCTATGCCGCTGTCTCCCAAGTAAACACGATAAACCACTTATTTTATATCACTTGAATTGAGCTTAAGATACGTATAACGCCTTACCGGAAATAATTTATCACTAATGCCTGCTTTATAGGTGAGCGTTGAGACGCCTACCACTTTTGCTGTAGAAAGGAAAATTACCCCTTGGACTGACAGATGTTGCTTCCTTTTTCGTATTTGTTCTTGTTTCGGCATTGCTGTTATTGATTTTTCTGAATTTGTTCCTCCTTTTCTACATACTTGGTCGATCGTGTGATCTGTGCATCCGATCTGAACTCAGATGCATAACTGAAGTGTTTATTAACTGAAATGTTTGACTCGCATTAGGCGAATCGTTCAACAAATATTAACATTCTATTCAAACGTGCGTGGGAGAGAAAATGGAGAACTCACACGTGAAAAAGACAACTGGACGCTACTTCAAGGAATTCTTTGAACTTTTCCTCGCATTTTACAGTTTGGGTTTTAAACTCCAGGGTTTCCTTCCTTAAGTAAAACAGGTCGCACAAATTGTCATGTCTTAGGGTCCATGGATTAATTTTTACAGAAATGATTATCACATCGATCAAAAACGAGAAATATGTTAGGCTGATAAGTTTTTCGCCGACGGCCAAAAAGACCACAATACTCCCTTCCAAACCCAAATCGACGTGGGTTGTGTTGTTCCGACTGTTTTCTTTCTCTCCCTCCATTAAGAACGGGTGCTAAATTCCTTTGCGGAGGATGCATGTATGACTTCCGGCATAACAGTCTCTGAACTCGTAGCATCATGAGGATAAACAAACCTCCGTTACTACCATTGAGTTAAACTGATAATTAAACTGTTCTATCTTCAGCCTAACCCAGTTTCAATTTCTACAATTCACTACTTCTACGATATATAGTCATCTTTTTAAGCCTCAGATGTGCCGGCGTCCTCGACGAGCGGTTCGTATCAGTTCCATACCCGATGGGAGTCGAAAGCGTGGCGGTGGGACGTTAAATCAACCATTTTGCCCACAAAATTTCCTCCCACAATTATAATGCCCCCTCACTTGGAAATTTTGTTCTAGAATTGAGAAATCAATTATTTTTCTACATGCGGTTGGAATGTCTCGCATCACAAAATGCACCTCAAAAACCAATCCTAAAAAAAATTCAGTCTCCATTCAATCTCCCTCCAAGACTTGTAACATTATCAAATTACTAAGGTTTTTTTTCAAAGTTACCGCTCGGAGTTGTTTTTGCCTTATCATTAAGTCCCTGGTCAAGAATCTATTTTGTGGTTTACCCTCGCGCACCAGTCGCATGCGTCCTATTTAGTTGAAACAAACTTTTCGAATTTTTTTAAGCTTAGTCAGTTGACATATGATAAATTGCTTATTGACTGAGATAAGTCGGGCTGAAGGGGAAATTATTTGGCTTTCGTACGTGACGTAAGAACCAAGCGCATGACTTCGAGCCAATTATTTTCCCGTTTGGCCCTCCACTCAGTCAGTGTTTATGGCACAGATAACAGATTTAGCTAAATTGGGACAGATTCTATTTAATTAAATTTCAGAGAGGCTATTTTCAGTTTGTAGGATGCATTATATGGTTTGCTTGTTCAGTAATTATAGGATCTCTTTGTATTCTGATTTACTTCATTATTTAGCTTTATTAAAGTTACCATTAGTTAAAGCAGACTTCGAAATACACAAATAAAACGAAAAAAAATTAACGAGGCCAGGGGGCAGTTCAGGAATAACATAGGCACAAATTGTAAATGATGGACTTGGAATAATTAAGCCAAATTTTTTTAAGCGTCACGAATGATAAACCTCCTTTAACCCTTTAAGTCCCACTAGTGACCTAGCCAGAATTTCTCCTTACATTATCAGTACGATGTCAAGCAGATAAGTAATGAGAATAAAGAAAAATATCTATAAGGGGATTCTTGGTTGATCCAATTCCAAATTCTCCAAACTAACATCACATAAATTATATGGCAAATGGTAAGGAGAATTACTCGTGAAATCATGGGAGTTAAATCTAGTCAGAATGATACAGCAGTATTTTTTTGTCAAAACCAGGAAGGAACGTATCAGGATGCCAGAAGAGTGCGAACTCCTCAATGCGTTTCCTGATATCAGTTTCTGTTCTCCGGCTTGCCCTCTCCAAATGCTTCAGTAACAGCTATATCAAAGTCACCGCTTTCCCATTACATAATTAGGAACGTTATCGCTTCCACGGCGAATACCTCCAAAATACATCTGTAAAGAGAAACTCTTATTAGTATAAACGAAATTTCGATTTCTCTCGATGCGGAGCACGCTTATCCCTTTCCCTCTTTGTTATTTTTCTGCGAGTGTGCTGTATACCATTAATGATAGGCTCCTGGATGATTTTAAATGAAGCATAAACGAAAGGATCGAGAAAGATAAGCAAACAGCCAATTACACCCGAATAAAGGGTTAGGAATAACAGACCCATCAATGCTCGGCAAACGGTCCTTAACATAATCTCTGTCTAGAAAAGAATGATGCACAACATTGCGCAAAATGCCCAGACTTCATTTGTTATTCATAACCACTGAAACAGACAAATTTGAATGCGACCGCGCCTTGAAAGGCCCACAACACCGTTCACAAAATTCTCTTTCCAGATTTCTCATATATTAAACATTAAAAGACGAAGTTTGAGAAAGTAAAGGGAATATCCCTAACCTTGAAAATTATGAAAACAACTCAAACTGGCTTCCAAAAACCCAAAAGCAGGAAATTGTTTCCCACGTTCCGACAATAATACGCAACCATGGCTTACTCAAGTACTTCAGTGGCCAAGGTAATCTTTCAGACGTCTATTTTAAAGATTTAATGTACTGCCCACCAAAACAAATTCCTTCAAAAGAGAGGTTTAAAGAGAAAATACACAGATCTAAATGTTGTGGGGGCTAAAATAGCCAAAACGGAACAATCTATCGAAAAATTTGAGAAACATTTAGCAATTCGCACTTGTCCGATCTCTTTGCAGTATTCGGCGAAGCCAAATATCACAACGGACATAATCTTCAATAAAGAAGTAAAAGAAATAAAACAACAAGCTCAACAAGGCTTAGTTGATGCCTTGACTAGTTTTCACAAAAGAAGGCTCGAGAGCCAAAGAAAAGAGCTAACTACGAACTCTCAGCTCGTAAGAACAAACATGTAAATAAGCAACCGCTCAAAGGAAAGCACATGGCGAACATTGTAAAAAGCAATTATAAAATAACCGAATTAAGGAATGATATTTGTGACCTTAAAGAGCTAATTTATACTCTTGCAAATAAAAGAGATGGGAAATAAAACAGTGTGTTCTCTGATTCTATAAAGGCTGGCTTTAACAACAGCGGAGCAAAACAAAAAGCACATGACGGAAAGAGCGTAGAAACACTTCAAAATGTAGGCTTTCAGCCAAGAAAGGGAGACAAATTAAAAATTTGCTAAAAAATCTCTCAAACTATTAACGTTCTGACGGGCACGTCGGCGTGCTATCAAAGGGTCTCAAATTTAACCAAACACCCGGGACAAACGAATGCAACAACTCTTGCGAGGTTTTGAACAATTTGCAAGACGAATGCGCCTCCAAAACATCTTTCACGGACAAAACAAAGAACCACATCCGTTTCATGTTAAATCAAACTAGATGCCACCGGTTCAGCCTTCTATTGCCCTTAAGAGCTACTTGGAAAATGTCAGAGCACAACTTGCCGAGATTACTGTAACTAAGCTAAAAAATAATTTTTCACACAATGAGATCACAGCTCTAAAAGAGTTGAAAAACAGCTCTGCTTTTAACTTCAAAAAAGTAGACAAAGGTACCACAACAGTCATCATGAATGAGACGGAAAAAATAGAAGAAGCCAAAGTGCATCTCGACAACAGAGTTCACTACAAACCTCTCAGGTTACCGATAGTAAAAAAACACGCATAAATAATAAACATTTGAACAAATGCATCGAGGAAAACAAATTGATGACATGACTTAGAAATAGCTTTCACAAACTCCCAATCAGCTAGAACACCAATATTCTATACGCCCACGAAAATACACAAACCTACACCGACCCTATACCGGTCGGTAGACCTTTAATCCCAGGTTGTGACAGCCCTACTGAGAGAATATCATCTTTTGTGGAGATGTTACTCCAGCCTATCGCGCAATTGCAACAGTCCTATATGAAGAGGGTCCCCAATGGGTTTTTCGGGATGCGGGATTAGGCTTATATAAAGGCCGGGATCCAGGAATTTAAAGTAAGAAGGGAGCGAGATGCGGGATTGCTATTATGAACGGATACCACTGCTTTTATCAATTTCTTAGAAAAAAAAAACAAAGATAGGCAAAGATACTATTCTAGTATCAATGGACGTTTCTAGCTTGTACACAAATATACCTCAAGAGGAAGGAACTAATATAGTATTTATATATACGAAAAGATCCACAACCATAACGTACCGATCCCGACGCACTACCTCAGGGAAATGCTTGGTTTAATCCTGAAAGAAAATTCCTTTTAATTCAATGGGGAGAACTTCATATCATCTCTTACAAAAAAGGAAAACCCCTCAAAGACACGCTTGTGAAAGCAAAATATAAATTTGGAGGCGATAATACGACGCGACCACAAAAGCCACATGAGGAGTTCGCACAGGTCTGTCTTCACCTTTGTTCCTAATTTTAGGGGCTTCTCACTAACACCCAATTTATCCAAAGAACAACGAATCGAGAAGAAGGAGGAGGAACAAGTGAAGTACAAGCAGAAGGAGAATGCCGTTCCAACGATATTTTTCTCCCATCGACCTTCCAAAAAACCTCGGCTGTCGTCTGAACACCATCGCCAAGAACAATCGCAAAAAGAGGTATTACTATGTAAAAGCTAGATTGACCAAGTATCATTTATCAGAGAACTCAAACAATTATTCTTCATAGCTTTTCACTATGTTGCAGGAATACTTATCTATATTTTATGCGCTTAAGTACGACTTTACGTGTGAAAAGAAATAAAACGGCCTTTTCTTCTATCTGCAGTATCTTACTTCGACTCAAAGCCCCCCTTTTGCTGTAAAGGAGCCCAGTACCTCCAGAGAAGTCAGGAAGTCAGTCTCTTCCCAATAAATGATGCAGAAGAAATGGACACAGGTTGCATCCTTATCGTCTGCCATGACCGAGACTGCAGATGCAGGGTGTTCGGTAAACTTGAAATGTGTTTTGAAATGTTTCAATGCAAAAAATTTATTTCCTAGATTTATTATAAATTTGATTGCGTATCAAGTAAGCTGTAATTTCGTCACCGTTAAAGTACAGAGTTAACGTGACAATTAAAAGTAGCGTGTAATAGGGAGCGGCATATGATAATCAAATCAGTTCTGCGAACAGTGATGTATTAAATTAGGTACTTCCAGGGCGTTTAAGCGCGTAGGAACATAGAGGCATGATTGTCAAGTAAAGCCATGTTTGATAGGAAATTAGAGTCCACGAATCGTTGTAGAACGTGTGTAAGTCTTGAATCCCACACGGAATCGTGTATCTGGGTGTGGATATCCTTAGCTAATAAATGTAATAATTTTTGTACCCCTAATATTAAATTGTAATAGATTAGATAGATCGTAGAACGGTACGTGTAATGCTGAATTGTCGACAGTAAAGCCTGAATCAAGTGAAAGTATACAGTCCAGGATTACTGAACCAGCGTGTGCGGAATTCTTAGTAACGCAAGTGGGAAATTCTCCGAAATCTGGTCCCTCGAGTCGGATAGTGAACGAAGATTGCGAACGAAGATAGAGAACGAAGATAGAGAACGAAGATAGTAAACGAAGATGACTCAACTTAAGAACAAAAAGAAGTCAAGAGCAGGCTACAAGGGTTATCTGAGCTACGCCTTTTCCGAAGTGAACAAGTGCCTCAAGAACTATACTGAAGACATCAAGAACGAAATCGAACGATAAAAGGAAGCGCTCCGAGAACAACTGGAGAAAGTAACTACACTGAGCAACCAGATCCTTACATTGATGGAAGCGGATGACGAGTCGACTGAGGAAGATATGTCCATGGTGGTACACGACACCAACAAACTGCGGTTTGAGGTGAAGTTGCGATTGTCCGCCATCGGGAAACTGCTAGCCACAAATTTGCCGAATGAACCGCCGCCGTCATCGCCCAGCCCCTCCGTGGAACTGCAAGAGCATCAAGCCCCATGGTCGTCCCATCCAACTGCTCCCTTTCGGGTTAGATTGTCGAAACTCGAGGTTTGGGGGCAACATTGTTGAATGGCAGGAGTTTTGGTACTCCTTTGAGAGTGCAATTGACAAATAATGCGACTTTGGCCGACGTCGATAAATTTTCATATTTGCGAGGCCTTCTGATCAAGCTAACACGGTCGGCGATAGCTGGATTTGCCCTTACGTCAGTAAATTATAAAGCAGCGACGGGACTGCTAAAGAGAAGTTATGGAAAAAGGACTGCCATCCAAAGAACGCACATCAAAGACCTCATGAACATAGAGCCCATCTATAGCGAACGAGATGCACACTAGCTTCGAGCCTTGTGCGACTTCGCCGAGATCAAGCACCGGGCCTTGGAACCACTTGGTGTGACCAAGAAACATACTCCGCCATCGTAGTGCCATCACTGTTGGAGAAACTTCCAGAGCAGCTTCGTCTGACCATCACGAGAGGCGAAGACCACCACGAGTGGAATTTAGAGCCACTCTCAGACATCTTGGGCCATGAGGTTGAACTGCGAGAAGAATACCACAGGAACCCGCGAAACACGAGAAACCCTCAAGACGAGTTCAAGAGGAAAACATCAATGCACACTGGAAAGCAAATTAACTGTGACTTTTGTCTGGGAGGACACAACCATGAGGAATGCAAGAAAGTCAAGAATGTCCATGAGCGTAAGCAATCATTAGTTACATTTGGTAGATGTTTTAATCGTATTCGTAAGGGACATCTTTCTAGGGACTGTAAAACGAACGTAATTTGTAAGTTATTATTTTTTTAAGGGAAAAGACCATTCGTGTCTTTGTAGTGCTGACTCCTCAAGGGAAGGGGAAAAGTCAGAAAATTTGGGTAATCACAGTACTGGAGAGTCAGTTGGGAATAAAACGCATGTTGAAACAGGTAAAAGCGTCATTTTACAAACTGCACAAGCCCAAATAGCGGGGAAGAGAAATGCGCGAATTAGAGTGATTTTTGACACAGAAAGTCATACGTCTTTCGTTACGTCGCGCGTAGCTAAAGGTTTCAGTTTAGAAATTCTCCGAAAAGAATGGCTCGCTGTCAACACCTTTGGCCAGCGGGCAGCGGGTTCAAATCTCAGGGAGGTGATTGGATGTATTTGACCACAGTAGGGAGAGGAAACACAATTTACATCGAAGTCTTTGTAGTCCCTGAAATCTCGAGAGTACAGAACGAACTGCTGGAATTAATGCGTGAGAATTACCCTCACTTTGCGAACATATGACTCTCTGATGTTTGCCAACACAAAGAGCAGTTGGAGATAGATGTTCTTTCAAACAGGCAATGTAACCCGTGAAGGTATGTGTGAGCCAGTAGCCATAGAAACACAGTTTCTGGTCCTTTAGAGTCTAGTCAGTCAACAGAGAGAGAGAGCGAGCAGTCAGTGTAAATCTCGTAAGAAGAGACAGTATTATTTCGGGAAAATTAGAGGAGGATGTTCAGGTTCATTGGGAATTAGAAACGTTTAACGGAAATCGGTATTCCGTTGAGCTGCCATAGAAGGCGGGGCGTGACATCTTAGATGGTAATTACGAGTTGAGTTTGTCACGTATGAAAGCTCCGATCAAAAAGCTTAGAAATGATCCAGAAGCGTAAAGAGAGTACGACTAAGTTATCAAAGAACAGTTAGCTTCAGGAGTAATAGAAAGAGTGCTAGAGTCTGGAAAGAAGGGTGGAGTTCATTACACCTCACATTTGGCGGTCATACGCAAAGAAGCCAGCACATCCAGACAGAATCAATACAATACGAGGCAACAATTTCTGGCTCTAGTATGAGCCCTCGAGATGAGCAGGAAAACATTGATAACTTGTCTCCTAAAAAGGATTCGTTCCAACCAAAGGCGACCGTAAATCATTATCAGTTAATTCGTTGTCTGATAAAGAAGAATCTGATGGCCTACGTGTAACTCCTAAGAATTAGGAAAATTTCTTGTTTTCAGGAAAAATTTGCGTCGGCTTTTTAAGTGGTGCCCCGATGAATCTGTTACTCTTCTATGGCCGTAAGAGACTTGTCTCGTCCATCTACAGCCTTTATTGGCGTCATAAGTATATCACAGATCCGTACCAGCGTTGCACTTAAACCAACATAGGCATATACTTGACGAGCACGAAAGCAAGTTGGAAAGCGAAATCATAGAAAATAAAGGAGAGGAATCAGGCAGCTTTCCTACAATAAGACGTTCCGTCAAGGTATTGGCGGAAAATTAAAGCCTCGGCAAAATTTGACCCTTGAGTTTACCTCTCTGCCTTGAGAAGGGCGTAGAATGTTTAGCACACCACTGATTCTAGTTGCTAGAACTAGGAGGGCTAACAAATGAATCAGAAAAAACACAAGGGAATAAGAGCAAAGGAGGGTAAAGGAAAGCTAGATGGAGGACCTGAAGAAAATTATGCATTATAGCGACCGACAGAGTGAAGAGACCTCAATCACCATTTAGAAAAAGTAGATGAATATGGAAGAATTGAAGGTGAATCTGGTTGTTTTCTTAATAATAGACTAATATGGCACTGCTATAAATTGTCATTTACAAATTCTTCCATCATTGTATAAGTATAATTATATGACTGAGCTATTTCCTTTTTAACCCCACGTCTTCAATTATAAATTATGTTTAATTACTTTGCTACTCTTAAGAGTTAGTAAATGGATGCTGCAAACAAAAGCGTCTCAAAAAGAGAAAAAAGATGTTTTTCCTTTCATTCGTTTCGTAAAAAATTTCTATACTCGCTAGGTTTTAACTTCTCTCATCACAATCAAGGACATACAAAAGTCACAGCTGTTTTAATTTCCCTGCCTTTATCATGACTTTTCCTTGACAATCGTACAATTTCTTTGACCAACTCAATTAACAAATTCACAAACGAGTCCTGATTATAACCTCCAACCTCCCTTCACAACCAACCCATAAATCAATGCTTTCAGCAAGGTTACATCAACCGATTAAGCCTTCAGTAACATGGAAAGAGGATTGATTCTCTTGGAAACCCAACGTCTGCTGGTCATTCAATTTCATGAGGCAGTATTCTACCAATGCAACACCTTTTAGTCTAAATTGTTACAGAACAATAATAAACAGAAGAAAAAGAGTATTCACAAACCAACTTGAACTTACATGACAAAAGGAAAGGACATGCTGGTCAAGAATCAGTCAACTGCACTTCACAATGTACATGAGTAACATCGACATCACAAAAAGGAAAGTGTCACCATCTTCCATCATGACGAAGGCTAACACGTGATAAACAACCTCAAATTAACTTGAAATTTCTATTCTCCCTGACTTCTTTTAAAGATGCAAATCTTCCCTTACTCCGAAGGAAATTCTCTTACTTTTCCGCAGCCTTGTATAAATTTATTTTTTCCTGATTTTCCCCTCACCGGCGACAACCATAGAAACTGAAGTAAGCTTATCTCATGTGGCGATTTATATCTTCTTTTGTAAATCGGCTAATATTTAAATATGATTTAGTAAAGTGATACTTTAGGTGGTTATATGGCGAGCTGATTTTGGCTCGCTTTTTGGCCATTTTGAGGGTGTATTTTAGAACCGTATTCTAACACAGGATATGTCATTTTATCCAATGACAAATAAAGACTTATTTTCATCTTTATTATTTTCATAATTAGTATTAATATTTTCATTATATATCCACTTCACCAAATTAGTAATTCTAATCAACATACCTAAGTGAGACATCCATCTCAGAAGGAGGAGATTATGATCTTTGGTTTCATTTTTTAAGTAGCCATACTTTTGTGTAATAAGGATCATTAAAAAAAAACCACAAGGAAATTGAGTGTAGTAATCTTTTTGTGAAAAGCAAGCTTATTTATCACACTTCAGCTGTTTATATTTCTACAGTACTTTATTATGAAAATTGAATAAAAATTGACCATCACATCTCTTGTGTTCAAGTACAAACCTGTAATCCAAGGATAAATTAAGACTTCAGAGGAGATACCAAGTGTTTGATGTCAGTGAAAAATTGTTGACAGAGCATCATTAACCCTTCCACCTTAATATGGGCATTAATTATGGCCAGGGGGAGAGGGGGTGATTCTTGGTTTCAATTCCTTAAAATTACCCTGAGAGAAATCCTTGTTGACTGCATGTCAATGAAAAGTATGCAGTAAGTCGTCATTATCAGCATCATCTACTAGCCACTTCAGCAGTATTTGTTATGCAAATGCAACAGTATGCTAAGACGTGAGGACCTCCAAAATAGACCACCAGACTTAAAGAGAATTTCATATTTCCATATACAAGGGCAGGACACCACTGACACTTCCCGCAATAAATATTTACAAGAGCACAAGAGGAAGGGATGAAAGACAAAAGCCATTCAAACCAGTTAGTAGTTAACTGTCACTTCAACACCCATTTCCATTTAGCAAGTAAAAAAACAACAAAAAACACTATGTCAGATCTTCCAAAACTTCATTACAACCTCAAATATAATTTAATTGTTAAAGTGATGGTTCAAAAGTTTTGGTAAAGGACCCTTTACATTAAGAGAACAGCATATTATGATCTTTGAACCACCAAGTACTTTTTTACATTATGTTTGCAGGTATTACTTTGTTTAAGGATAAAATTGACCAATATCAAAACATAAGGTTTTATTAAACATTTACAGTTCAACACATGGTGTCTGTTAGACTCCGTTGGGGTAAAATAATGTTGTTTACTTTGTTACTAACAATTTTTTTTTAAGCTTTAACTTATCTATTCTAAGGTATTTTCACACACACATTTCCATGTATGTATTCATATGATATGATCAATCAATAGTACAAGAGACATTTCATCACAAGTTGCCTCTTTTAGCAAATGTTTGTTAAAATAATGCGTGTGAAGTAATTTAAAGAGCATATTTCAAAGACCATGACTTGCATGTTTTTGGATAAAAACTTGAGACTGAGACCTCAAAGAGAATTAAAACATCAAACTTAACAACTTTGAATCAACTGAACCAAACCCAAAATCAATCATGCTACAAGAGAATTTGAAAGTGTCGTATCTTCAGCCAGGATTTCATTTTTGGAATTGATTGGCGTGTAAGTGGCCATCTTATAACCGTACTAAAGAGAGACTTTTCACCATTTTCCTAGCTTTGGAGCTACCCACCTTGCGCGAGAGAAACGTAAGGAAGATATGTGAATTTTTTGAAGTACTACTGTTCAACGTAGAGTCACTGCGAACATTGAAAAGTTTATCCAAATTGGACGCCGCGGTTCGATTTACCTTCGACAAGCTTGATGTGATAAAGAACGAATTGCCACGATAGATGAAAATTGGTGCGAATAGACTTTTGTGGAATTCTTAGAAGCGCTGTAGAAATGGACAATTAATAATCCCATTTCCAACGAACCGATATCAAAGAGCTCAAATTTCCGTCGAGATCAGTCCAGAGCATTTCTTGCCAAACACCATGAAACTGGAAACCAGTCGAGGGCGAGCCCGGGGGCGTGTCTTTATTGTTGTAGCGAACAACATAAGGCAATGAACTGTGATAACGTCCAAAGCATCGAAGAAACGAAGAAAATACAGGCCGATAAGAGCTTGTGCTTCAATTGCACCAGTGCCAAACACCGAGCCAGCGATTGTTAGAGCAGAAATACTCGAAGAATTTGCAATGGGAAGCACCACACTTCGATATGTTACAAGAAGGAAAGACGAGAACCAGGTACAACTGCAAATTTAATAGGAGATTCCAGTGTTATTCATCCGGTCCTGGTTATAACCATGGGCGGATATAAATTTAGATCCCTGTTGGACAGTGGCGCCAGCCATTCCTATACTTCGTCGACAGCGATCAATTTAATTAAAGCTAAAGCAAAGAGTACGAGTTTGCGCAAAATCGCCATGCTTACAGGCGTTGAAACCAGATCTGTGCAAGTCTTTGAAGTTGTCATGCGTTCTGTGACTGGAGATTTTACACTTAACGTAAATGTCACGAAAATCGAAAATCGAAAATGGGGAACTTTTGACCTTAAATAACCCAAGGTATTCCGATCTCTTAAACAATCACCCTTACCTAAGAGGTGTTGCAATGGAGATTAGTGATACAAAAGCTCATTTACCTGCGCACTTGATAATCGGCGCCAATGACTTTGCCAAGATACGGACCAGTGATCGTTTGCGGGTCGGACGTAGAGGAGAAACACAACACCAAACCTAACAGCTTGTCCGTAGGAGATGTTGTTATCATTAAGTCTGATGAGTGAAACCGAGTGGCCCATGGGGGTAGTAGAGGAATTGTTCACTGGAGGAGATGGCGTTGTTAGGGCAGCGAAATTAAGAGCAGCGAAAGTAAGAGCAGGCAGAGGATTCATGGAACGCCCAATCCAACATCTTTACCCACTAGAATTGTCGTGCGATCGAAACCTTACACTTTGCAATGACACACCTTTGAACCCAACCGTAATGGAGTTCCGGCCGCGACGAGATGCTGCTGTGGCAGCGCGTCAGCGAATAGAGGACATTGTAGAGCAAGAC